GTGTGTGTGTGTGTGTGTGTGTGTGTGTGTGTGTGTGTGTGTGTGTGTGGAGAAAAGAAAAACGTAAATTAGATCTACTGACTGGTGCCGCTGGTGCCCAAGGAGCTGCAGCCGTTGGAGCCGGAGCCTGAACCCGAGGACCTGGTGCCCGAGGACCCGGACCCGGAGCCGGAGGAGCCGGTGCCAGAGCGGGAGTCTTCCTGCAGCAGCAGGTCCAGCAGGTCGCTGGAGGTGGACATGGCATCCTGGTTGGACTCGATCGCTTCAGCCTGACAGAGAAAAAGATCAAAGGGAATGAGTCACACGCCCACTTCATGCCAGTTTGGAACAAAATGTGCGTTGAGACGTAACCGTTGCTCCTGTTTTGGTCAAATCTTGAAAATAAAAATCAGTTGGTGCTCAGAGTACGTGTTGCGACCGACTCTCAGCTACTACCACCTGTAAAACTGACTGAATCATAACTATGTCTATGTTTGCTGGCAGCCATCTTAAACTGGATCGACTACAAAAGCTGATCAGCTGTAGATGTACAGATTACTTTCTGAGTTTCATTAAAACCCATTCATGAGATATTTTGCTAACACACGTTTAAAGGTAAATACATTATCGCCCACCTTCTGCATCTTCGGCGCTAATTAAAGACGGATCTTAAATGACATCAAGGTATCACTTACGTTCTCCGTCTCCTTGGAGGTACCGTCTGCGCTCCTCTGATTGGCTGAGTCCCCGCCCTGCACAGAAGGCGTGGCCTGCTGTGATGTCACCAGTGCCGTGGCGACCTCTAGGCGGTTGCTTGGCGACTCCTCCAGCTGCAGCAGGTTGAGAGGTGAGGAGCAGCGGGACTGGAAGAGGGGCGACTGGGCGCCGTCACGGTCCCCAGGCGTCTGAGTGAAGGACTGGGGGGTGCTGCTGCGGGACAGGGCGCAGGGACCCGGGATGGGGACCAGGTTGGACACGGAAGGGATGGGGACCGGGTTGGACATGGAGGGGATGGGGACCGGTGGGATATAGGGGTAATTGAAGTTGGGATTGTAGAACTGTCCGGGTTGAGAAATGGGCGCCCCCATTTGGGGGAACATGTAGTTGGGCAGAACGAGGGCCATCATGGGGGGCACCATCTGGGTCTGAGGGAAACGGGATGGGTCGTGGACAGGGAGGGGCTGTGCGAGTGGCGGGTAGATGGGGTAAACTGGAAGCATGCCGGGGGCGAAGGGGGCCGCAGGAATGCTGCCCTGGGAGAAGGCAGAGGGCCAGGAGGAGGAGTTTGTGGGGGCTCCGAGGGGCCCGTTAAGGGACATGGGCCCCGCACTGGCTCTGGGGTCTTGACGGTTCACGTTCAGGCCCAAAGAGCTGTGCTGGTCCGATGACTCCTGGTGCTTGAGTCTCTTTCCGCCACGGCCCAGTCTGTGACTGGTGCCCCCTCCTGCGGCTGGGTAATCCCGAGAACAGCGCACCCCTGAGGAAAAACAAGGACGCGGCGTTAGGTCTGGCCTTTCACACCAACCATTTTATAACCCTGCATACTTTTATTTTAGACCAGTGCCATGACTTGTTTTTTTGTAACTGCTACACTTTTCAAATTATTTAACTTTGTTTACAAACATTTCCTCATTGAAATACATTGAGCTATCTTTAACTACTGAAAATAACATTATTCTCCTAAAACTGTAAATAACATTTGAAACTTTGTCTATCATCAGATTAATTTGGCTAGCATACCGTTACATACATAGGCTACCGTTAGCTTTTAATTAGACCTTTGTTGCGTTTCGATATTAGCTACTTTACTGATTTAGCTTTTAGCTAGCCTTTTGATATTTTAACTGGTCTTATGCTGCTTTTAGTTATTTTTTAAAATGATTTTAGCTGGCTTTTTATTGTTTTATCTCTTAGCTAGCTAGCATTGTGCTACGTTTAGCTAGAATTTTGCTGTCGTTAGCTTTTAGGTAGCCCTCTACTTTTAGATACTAGCTACCCCTTAACAGATTTCGCTTTTAGCTATACTGTTAACTAGTCTTATGCTGATTTTAACTGTTTTTTTTTTTCACTTTAAAAAAATATTTTAGCTAGCTAGCAATGTGCTTCGTTTAGATAGCACTTTGCTGTTGTTAGCTTTTAGGTAGCCCTCTACATTTAGATATTAGCTAACCTTTAACAGATTTAGCTTTTAGCTATCCTTATGATACTGTTAACTAGTCTTATGCTGATTTTAGCTGTTTTTTTTTTAACTATTTTTATATTTTAGATAGCATTCTACTGTTTGCTTTTAATTAGACCTTTACTTTTACATAATAGCTACCTTTTTACTACTTAAGCCTTCAGCTAACATCATTTTACCTAAAATTCTGCTGCTTTTATTTAACAGTTTGCCGATTTTAGCTTGCTTTTAAAAACCTTTAGCTTCTAGCTAGTGTTTTGCTATTGTTATTTACCACCTACCGTGTTAATACTTTAGCCTTTAGCCATTTTTTATACGTTTATCTAGTCTTTTGATACGTTGGCATCTAATTACTGTTCTGCTACTTTTAGATGTTAGCTAATGTTCTCAATAGTTTTTTTTTTAGCCTTGTCAATTGAACTTCTTCAGCTAATTTTAACAGTTTCTCAGCGTTCGCGCTGCTGTTTCTGGTTGTTTACAGTAAATCTAAAGATGCAGAGTTTGGGTGTGTTTGTGTTGGACCGGGAGGAGCTGCTACCTCGAGACAGAGCAACCGGCGTGTGCACAGTTGAAGACGTCTGATCGAAGACGCGCAGCTTGCTGAGGTCCTTGAAGCAGTCGAGGAACGCCTGCTCCTCCTGCTGGGTGTGAGCTGACAGCACCTCCTTGGTCAATCCTAGCCGGTTGGCTCCTCCCCCTCCATTTCTCCAGCTGTCTCTCTCAGGGTGACTGGCTTGAGGAGGAGGTGGAGGAGGAGGAGGAGGAGGAAGGGTAGATGAGTTGACGATAGTGTTGGCAGGCAGCGTTTGAGCACATGTGAAAGGAGTCAGGGTGGCGGTGGGAGGGCTTGGTGTAATAATCGGAGGAGGGGCCAGGGTGGGAATGGTTGGAGCGTCCTCCATGACGATGTCTGATAGACGAAAAAGAATGGCCGAGCGTTAAAAAAACGTCACATTTAAATGTTCATTCATTTAACCTTAGTTGAAAATAGAATATTAAAACAAATCTTCTACAAACATTCAGGCTCCCAGACGTTCATTTTTAGATGATTTTAGTTTGGACAAGAGAAATTTAACAAAATCCAGCACACCGAGTCCTCAGCAACACAGCACGTTTCCTACGTGTCATAATCTGTGCTAACTTCCTCTTCCCTTTTAAATCATCAAACCTGTAGATTTTGAAACAATTTAAAACAAAAAACACTCGATGACTAAAGATCCTGAAGGAATAACTGACTGGAATAAATAATAAATGACTGGAATAAATACAGCAACCCCTTGAAATTTTGTGGATCAACTTTCGCAGACTCAAGTCTTTTGTGGGTTTTCAACGTAAGATTGCACACGACACACGATTGGCTGATTGATAGACGGCGACCAACCAGAGCATTGTGCTGAGGGGTGCACTGGCCATCAGGAGCACCGGAACATTTCCCGGTGGCCTGGCCCGCTCAGTGATCGCAGAGGGGCCCCCTCCTTTCTCTTTCTGAGGCTGTCTGTCACAGCAGAGCAGAGAAACACAACAGGCACAATCTGTTGTGTGGCAATGACTGTTTATTTAAAATAATCAAGCGCGACCCGGAACGAGTCTTTGGTCCAGCCCAAAGCAGGCCAGGCCACCGGGAAATGTCCCGGTGCTCTCCATGACCAGTCCGTCCTGCTGATTAGCTCAGTAACCGTAGCATCAGTCCGTCTTCTCTTTTTTAGTGCTCTTTTAGAGCGCTTAGTGTTTTTAGAACATTTTTAAGAACATTGCAAGAGTGTGGGAGGGGTTTATAAAACCTTAATATATACTGTATATATAAAAACACTAAAATAAATATAACATCCCTACTTCGCATATTTTCACTTATCGCGGGAGTGTCTGGAACGTAACCCCCGTGATAAGTGAGGGACTACTGTATTCTCATTTGCAGGGATGTCACAGTTTATTTGCAGTTACAAACATGTTGCAACGATCAATTCAAGGATATACACCTATATACTTTTTTCTTCTTCTCAATTTTATGTCTCCAACTAGTTGACATTTCATAACTAAATATTTTTGCATTTGTGGTTGTTAGAGTGTGTAGCAACACTTGTCACTCAGTATTCTTAATAAACTTGTAACTCCGTCAATCTAGATGAAATATTTGGGCGTTTCGATCCAGGCCGGGCTGCTTGTTTGGTGCTCGTCTCCATAGACCTGGATGCCGTTTTTCTTTTTGCTTGCTAATCTTTTTGTCCTGCCGCTCAACTCAAGCTCCTTTCATCAGTCTGAGAGTTACAGTTTGAAACTTTGCTTTAATACATAAAGAGAATAATTACACAGATTTTCTCGCACGTTTGCCCAAAACGAGTTTCTCCTCGACACCATATTACGTGGGCACCGTCGTCGTGTCATGGATTTCTAAAGAAAATTGTGGCTAAACAATAAAAACAAAATCTAAAATGATTTTTGTTTGCTTTTACTCAATTTAACAGTAATAAGGACATGCAGGTGAACTTTTCTTTTACTCAAACTGGTCGGGCTGTTTGAAAGAAAGAATAATTTTCAAAGATAAAAAATATAAAACAAAGATAAAGTTCTATTTATGTTGGTTGGAGAGTTTTCTTTACCATGGCTGCAAAGAATAAGCTGTTTTAAAAGGAAACACATTAAAATGCAAACAGTAAAACTCAGATTAAGGACAAAAAAAAAACAAAAACTAAAAGCTGCTGAAAAAAATCCGAGATGAGAAACAAAATCCTACATTTCCAGATCATTCTAGAGAATTTGGCCTTGTCCACACAACTTCAGATATTTTTATTTTTTAAAACAGAGATTTTCTGCTGTGTTTGCACCTGTACTAAACTTACATGTGGAGATTTTGGTGAGAAAAGCAACTTTGCAAAGTAAAGCTTTGTAAAAAAAATATATATTTTGTGTGCTTTGCTAATGTCTTTAAGCAAACAAGAAATGGTGCTTTTCAGAAACAGCTACGTAGCAGCCTGTTTTGTGCACTTTTTCCACCTAGAAACAACAACAATTGAGCCATTCTTAGCATTTTTTTTATCTGGATCTGTCTCACTTTATCCCAATTTAGCTGCTGTTAAACTATTATTATGTGCTGAAATCATTAACTGAGCTAAAACCAGGATATAAAGAAAAACAGATTTGATAAGACTCTTGAGGCCAGATAAGATGTTCTTTCTCAGTAATTTGTTGTTCTTGTGGAGGTTCTCGCCCCCTAGTGACAAACACGGGTATTTTAGCATCTTGTCAAGATTAAGTACCGGTAAATTAGAAAGAAAATACCCGTTTATAAAAATTTCTGGAGTAGTGTAGACAGGGCCTGTAAATAAAAAGACTTCCCTTTCCCGCTCCAAATGTATAATAAGGTCAGAAAGTTTAGGAAAACAAACAAACAAAGAACTTCAGGGACCTCGTCATTTTCTTGGCGAGGACCTGCGGAGAGTGAGTGTGTTGACGGTGCCCACCTGACTCGGGAGGCTTCTTGTCTCCTACATGGACGATGGTGCTGCTGAAGCTACACTGAGACGTAACTGAGGCTACACTCTCTGCCTTGGAGGCCATGGTCAGAGGAGGCAGAGGAGGTGGTTCACTTACGAGGTTAACTGAACCACCTGAAGAGAGATCGTCGTCACAGTTCACAGAAACACATAACAACCAGCTTTGTTAGTGATCCAAGAAAAGTGCAAACTCAAGACTCAAGCATTATTTGGACTGCATATTTAAATAATTGGATTTGACTGCCTCTAATAATCTAAGAACGCTTGACTGGATAGTTTAAAGTACCTTTGCCGTTTCCGCCGGTGTCGGGCTGCATGTCGTCATCGGACGTGGAGGAGGCGGTGCAGGAGGAGCCGAACTTCCTTTTGACGGTGGTAGGAATGTTACAGCTCTCCAAATATCTGCATGTACAGATTCATGGGTGAGTTAAATGCTTACAAACGCCTGGACAGAAGCTGGTTTAGTCCAGCACACCGACCTGATGATGCTGTCCAGACAGTTGATCTGCTGATAGGAGTATCCGGTGGACGGCTCCTTCTGCGCGAGAGGCGCGGGAACCAAAGCCTTAGGTTGAGTCATGTCTGCTATCAGACCTCTGATTGAATCGCTGTTGATGGTTCTGATTCCCGCAGCGCCTGGATGAAAAAACAAGAGAAACAGGATGAACACTGAACATTTAGGTTTCCTTTGAAGCCCAGCATTTGAAGCCCAAGTTTGTTTGAAAATAAATGGTGCATCAGTCGACTGTTCTTTCATCTCACCCGCGTTAGTGTTTTTTCTAGGTGGCGGGCGGTTGCGGGACTCGATGAAAACCTGCTGCCCGTTGGTCTTCACCGTGTGAACGTCTTTGCAGATTTGCTGGAACGTCATCTGGGGGGAAGAGACGCCTCTGTTAATTTCACGCCGACGTTCAGATTTGTCGTTTGCAAAGTAAAGCAATGCCGTCAAGACTCACGGGTTTGTGTGAAGCGACGGTGGCGGCAGCTTCGTCCATGGCGGGGCCGTTGCTGTCGCTGGAGGAGGCGGCCGAGGCGCTGAGGTGCTGCTGGTGGGAGCGGCGCGAGCCCCGCGAGCCGCTGGAGCCCAGCGAGCTGTAGCCCTGAGAGCTGCCGCTGTGCACCGGCTGCACCAGGAGCCGGTGGATCCGCTCGCTCAGCTGGATGATGTCGGGCGTGGTCACCCGGCTCTCGCAGCCCATCGGCGGGGTGAACACGTCTTCATTCAGAGGGCTCCTAAAAACAAAGAGAACCCAGTGTTAAAAACACAAGCAAGAATGAATAAATATGATCACATATCGTATTTTGCAATGAGATTAAAAAGTAATAAATTAAGAGTTAAAAATAGGTTGATGAACAAAAAATGCACTGAAAAGTGGCTAGTGCTCCGTTAGCATATTCGTACAGAAAATGCATGGTGTTAAAAAGGTTGTGTATAAATATTGTTGTGTATGTTGTATTTTTAGTGTATCTGCTACCATTCTGAATAAGCTAAGCTAATGTGTGCTTCTAATCCACATTCTGATTCTAGATCATTGTTGTGGATATGTATTCACTGATATTGAGCATGGACTTTGTTGTTATTCACTGATACTTTGAAAAAAGATTGAAACAATATTTTTGTATTACCACGAATAAACTAATTATTTTAGTTTTATTAATGTGTTGGTGATATGGAACTGTGATAACTTGAATTATATTGTACAAGCGCTCTAATGAAACTTGGATTATTCTCCTCTTATTATTCGAGCTCTACCACTGCATTTGGACGCTCACAGATTACGAGTAATTATATATAAAGTATTGTCATGAAAATACAAGATTCACTAAAAAAAATCCCATTTTCTAGTGTTACCCCTGATCTTTAGTTAGAAGTCTCAAAATGTCCGGTTAAAACTTTTTACTGCGACATGGAGCTCGATGGATCAACACTTTTTATGTACAATTTACACCAAATCCAACATCAAAAACTAAATATCAAGCCTGCTAAAGACTTTACATACAGTTCTTTAAATGCTTAGTTGTATAGTGACAGCCATGTTGCATTGTGATCCGACAACCCAATTTTTTGAAAGGAACCTTTCTTAGATGTAGCCACACATCAAAATGGCAGTCGGTACCTCACTTATTTTTCAAATTATCCAGCTCACAACATGCACAGATGAACGGACAGACAAAATGTCCAATTTTCCCTTTTAGCTCCACCATGTGGGACAAAAACAATCCTACGTTAATGTGTTTTGATGCTCATCACCAAGGAATTAAAAGCAAAGCTTATAAAAATACAAATATGAGAAAGCCTTACGTTCGCACTTTGTGGCGCCCAACAACAAACGCCACCTTTCTGCTCCAGGGGTTGACGAACGAAGACCAGCTGGTGTCGATGGTCAGATATTCTCCGCTGCGGGCGCACATCCTCAGCGGCGAGTAGTCAAACGGCTGCCCGGCGAACTGAAAGACTGCAAACGGACAACAGAACACGTTGAGGCCAAGAAACAGATAAACATAAAGTCGGGTTTTCCCAAAGCTCTGTATTATTTGTCTTTTAATGTTAAAATGTTGTTTAAAAAGTTTATATTGTTTGTTTTTGCGATTTTTGTAGATTCAAACAACAGATGGGAATAAAGTGCAAAAAGACGTAAAATAAAAGTTTCCACAGCTGGAGATGGAACCCGATCCGAACGGACTCACTCTTCTCGTGAATGGCCACCATGGTGGGCCGGTCCTCTGGGTGGATGGAGAGCAGGATGGGGGTCCCCACCAGGTCCTGGGGCAGGTAGCCCAACAGAGGCACAGCCCTGGAAAACACACCACATGTCCTCACGCTCTGGTAAGTTCTACTACACCTTTACAGAGGAAATGAATGAAGTCTTTCTCTCTCGAGGACGTGACAGATGCCAAGCTGACAAACCAGAAATGTATCAGTTTTTACGTTTATCTTAAAACACTTTGAAGGACATGCAAGCTCATAATGAGGAGGAATCACTGCAGATGTCTTTCAAAGTAAAACATCCATAATACAGATGTTGCTTAGTGAGCACTGGGGTTATCTTCTCTGTGGTTTTCAAACACAAAGTGCAGCTGTGACATAACGGAGTGACGGGGTCGGATACCTCTCGTCGACCTCCTGGAAGAGGCAGCTGGGAGTGTGACTGGTGGTGAAGATCCGCTTGTCTGGAGGGATACGAGGAGCTGAGAGGGAAACAAATCAAAAGATGAGAAGCACTTAGTGACTTCAGCAGCAGCTTCATTAGTGCTGGTGTGTATTAAATGCATATTCAGAGGGATACGACGCTTCACAGTAATTCTGAGACAATCCGCTTCCGTTCTCTCCCTTGCTGTTCTTGCAGCGGTGCGTTAGTTGAAAACTCACCAGAACTGCTTGAATCGTAAACATTTATACATCGATCTATCAGAATCCTAAGGCTAAATGTACAGACTTGATTTTAGGTTTTTATGCTGATGATAAAATTATTGTATTGGTTTTGTTTCACTAAATTATTGAGTGAAAGTTTGTGAAGCATTCACTCTGTTGTGATCCAGTTTTCTTCTGTACGTTTTTCAGCGCAGTTCTCATCCCAAAGTTTTCAGGCTAGTTCAACATTAAATCAAATCGTTCAGCTGTTTCAGGACAATCCTGCTATGACTTTTGGTTTTGGTGCAACTTTAGCTTTTTGAAATATTTAGTCTTTTCTGCCACTCCACATCTTTAGATCTGTTTACAACCTTTTACTGCTCCTTTCACATTTTGTTCTGCTTCAGCTTCTTTCAGCTTCCTTGTGCAAATTTAAACTTTTTCAGCTAATTTCAGCTGTTTTGTGCTCCTTTCAGCTTATTTCTGCGTTTCAACTTTTTCTGCTATTTCAGCTACTATACAGCTGTTTTTATGCTAATTTTTTGCACTCATTTAAACTTTTTTCAGCCCAATTCAGGAAAACTGCACTCTCTCCACTTCCTTCTGGTAATTTAAGCTTGTTTCTGCTTTTTTAGCAACTTTTCAGCTGTTTCATGCTAACTTCAGCTTTTTTCAGGTAATTTCTACTTTCTAGATGTGCATTTCTGCTTCTTTCAGCCTAATTGGGCAAATGTGTTCTTTCTGCTTTCTTCTGCTAATTTAAGCTTGTTCTACCTTTTCAGAATATTTTAGCTAATTTCAGCTGTTTTCAGATAAATTCAAGTTTTTCGTGGTACTTTCTGCTACTTTCAGCCTAAATAACTTCTTTCTGCAAATTTCAGCTTGTTATGCTGCTTTTAGCTTATTTCTGCTAGTTTCAGTTATTTCAGCTACTATTTAGCAGGTTTTAAGCTAATGAGCTTTTTTCAGCTAATTCCACATTTTTTGCACCCATTTCAACTTTTGTGTTTTTTCTGCTTTCTCCTGCTGATTTACGCTTGTTCAATATTTTCAGCTACATTTCAGCATGCTTTTTTTTTAGCTCATTTCAGCTGTTTTTCAGCAAGTTCTTCTGCAATAAGCATTCACACTGCATTTTTGCAGGAAATGCAATGTCGCTAGTTAGCGCTGCCATCTGTACAGTTCCACGTGTTTTCAATGTTCAATTAGGGCCAAAACTATGAAAAGAGTTGCTGAACGTGCAGATCAAACAGAATATACAGAATGTAAACTACTGGTTTAAATTCATTCATTCATTTCAAATAATTCATAAATGTTTCAGATACCTTCGTATCCGGAGTGAACTCTCTCGGCGATGAGCAGGCAGCAGGGCTGAGGCTCTGCGGCGTCAGAGTCTCTCAGGGTGAGCTGGTAGGGCGTGAGGCGAAAGGGGTAGTAGCGAATCTCCCCGCCCTGCGCCCGGTCGGTGCTGATCCGACAGAACATGGACTTCTCCTGGGTGCAGTCGACAGGAGGAGAGGCTGCAGGGGAGGACGGAGTCAGTCACACTTCACATCTCGTTCAAATTTTAGTCAGAGACGGGGGATGGGCAGTAACTTTATTAAAATGTCTCAATAGAAATGGTTGAATTAGAAAAATGGCATCTGGTAGTGACCACATCCTAAAAAATAAAACAACTTAAGAGTCCCTGTGTCTTTCTGACGTTGTGGTTTATTTTGAAAGGGTAATAAAATGCAAACTATAGTAACAGGTAAGCTCAGCTTTACTGTCAGATTATGAGGAACCCCCTCCATATTGAATGTTACGAGGGACTGACAGGGTGGTGAAATATTCAAAGAACATTTACTAACTAGTTACAAATTCAGAGTATTTTTTTCTCATCTCTAGTGAGGATCCGCTCACCTGAGCCGATGCAGGAGGCCCAGGGGGGCAGACGGCAGGGGGCTGTGCCGCTGTAAAAGGTGCTGACGTCCTGCGGAGCCAAAAGCTCGGAAAACACCGTCCCCTGCAGACACTCGGGCTTACAGCGCAGCAGAGACGAACACTGGGGCGAGACGTACACGACCTTCCCCGACAGGAACGACACGGCCACGGAGAAGGTGTCCTGAAGGAAAAGACACGAGACGCTCTGACTTTCTGAACTTCTCTCGAAGCCCGCTGAATTAATAAATTTAAATGTTCGCATGCAAATGCAGATTTGGGTTCTGTACCGTGTTTTTGAGCGTGTACTCTGATGTGATGTTGTCGAGCTCCTCGATTGTGAAGGTGGACAAGTCCAGACTGCAGCCATGACACTCCTCCACACTCCACTGGTGGTAGTACTCCCTGTTGGCTGCAAACATTTCACGTCTGGGTTAACAATCTAAACGTTTACGAAGCGTTCATGCCATGTGATCCATTTTTCTTCCATACACTGTTCTTATTTCAAAACATTCAGCTCTTTAGCTTGTTGAAATATTTATTAAATATTTATATTGTTCTGGTTCAGCTTCTTTCAGCTTCCTTTTGCAAATTTAAACTTTTTTTCAGCTACTTTCAGCTAATTTCAACTGTTTTGTGCTCCTTTCAGTTTCTTTCTGCTAACTCGAACATTTTTGTGTTTCTTCTAACGTCTTTCTGTTAATTTCAGCTTGTTATGCTCTTTTCAGTTTATTGCTGCAAGATTCTGCTTTTTCTACTATTTCAGCTACTATTTAGCTGTTTTATGCTAATTTAAGCTTTTTCAGCTAACTCCATATTTTTTGCACTCACTTTTTTCAGCCTAATCCAGCAAAAATGTGCTCTCTCCACTTCCTTCTTGTAATTTTAGCTTCTTTCTACCTTTTTAGCTATTTCTCTTTTTTAATTTTTGCTAATTTCAGCTTTTTTCAGATAATTTCCACTTTATTGTGCTCATTTCGGCTTCTTTCAATAAACATCTTTTTTTCTGCTTTCCTCTGCTAATTTAAGCTTGTTCTACCTATTCAGCTACTTTTTTTTTTTTTTTTTAGCATTCTTAGCTAATTTTACCCGTTTTCAGATTAATTCAAGTTTTTTGTGGTGATTTCTGCTACTTCTTTAAGCTAATTTCAACTTATGCTCCTTTCGGCTTTGATTGTTTCAGCTTTTTCTGCTATTTCATCCACTTTTTAGCTGTGTTGTGCTAAATATAGCTTTTTCAGCTAATTTAATTTTTTTAGCTCATTTTTGGCTCCTTCCACTTCTTTCTGATTGTTTAAGCTGTTTTTGCATTTTCAGCTATTTTTTTTTCTAATTTAATCTTTTTTAGATAAATTCTTAATTTCTGTGCTCATTCTTGCCAATTTAAACCTAATTCAGAAATTATGTGTTCTTCCTACTTTTTTCTACTAACTTAGACTTGTTCTTACATTTCAGCTACATTTCAGCATATTTTTAGATAATTTCAGCTGTTTCTAAGGACGTTCTTCAGCAATAAGCATTCACACTGCATTTTCGCAGGAAGTGCAATTTCTCTAGTTTATCCAGTTTCATCATTAAACAGTGTCCTCCATCAGAAACCCTGAACACCCCCCACCCCACCCCACCCCCTCACCTCGGACTTGTCTGACACACTGAAGAGCGTATTTGAGGGTACTCAGGGTGCTGGAGTGACCCTTGGCCTTGCGCTCAGGTGGCAGGCGGACCTTCAGCTCCTTGATGACCTTCATTAGTTCTTTCTGAGTCTGGAGTCTCGCCGACTGGTCGCTGCTCCAGCCGGAGGTGGAGGGGGGGTCGTGCTCCGAGCTGTTGGACAGCAGGCTGTAGGCCAGAGAGCTGTTGGGAGGCGACAGACTCTGGAAGTTGGAGCTGGGTGAAAAACGAAGAGAGAAAATGCAGATGATGCGCAACATGTCGACATCTGGATCCTTCAGTGGAGCCGGACATTTTTAGCTCATTTCAGTTCTTTCTGTTTTGTACCCTTTCAGATACTTTTTCAGCTATTTTTGCAAATTTCAGCTTTTTTAGCTAATTTCCTAATTTTTGTGCTCATTTCCACTTATTTGAACCTAATTCAGCAAATATGTGTTCTTTCTGTGCTATTCAACTAATTTAGGCTTGTTCTTCCATTTCAGCATGCTTTTAGCTAATCTCAGCTGTTTTTCAGCAAGTTCTTTTGCAATAAAGCATTCACACTGCATTTTCACAGGAAAGGCAATTTCTCTAGTTAACCTTCGTTTACAGCTGCGAATACTCCACACAGGAGCTACAATAATTGGTTAATTGCTCTGATGGGCACCAGTTTGGGTACTTTATGCCAGTCAGAAGAAGACTGGGCTAGCTGGTAAAACCATGAAGGGATGTGTGTTTTGACCATTTTAAATCTAGTTTTCCTTTAAAGAACGGGCATCGCTCGCATAGTTCATACGAGCTTTAGACTAAAACTGTCATGTTGGTGCAGAACACGGAGAAAGCATGAGCTCACACAGCTGTTCTCCTACCTCTTGTTGCTCTCCGTGGTTTCCAGCATCACGCCGGAGTCCTTCCCGTTTGAAGAGCTGTGACTGTGGGAGCTGCGAGTGGACTGGTGTCTGCAGGACGTGCCCCCCCTCGCCATCCTGCCATCGCTGTCCCTCTCCCCGGAATCGTTTCCGCTGGACAGTCCATCCATGTCGTCCGAGTTCGTCCCTCTTTGGTCCCCAGACAGACTTCCGGATCCCGACCCCTCCGTGGGCGAAGGCAACCCCCCATCGGCTGCTCTTCCCTGCTCCCGGCATGCGACATCGGACCGGTTGCAGCTGGACTTTTGCGCTTTTATCTGCTGCGACTCGGGCTGCTGGTCCTTACTCTCGTGGGCCTCTCGCAGTCGAGCGCTGCTGCTGGGCGTAGACGTGGAGCTGTCATAACTCATAATAATGTCGAATCAGGTCGGCTCAACTGGAGCTACTCAAAGTTAGGTGGGACTACTGTGTAAACACAAGTGCACCATAGTTGTTGGCTGCAGGTAAAAATTTAATAAATGAATAAATAGATTTTTTGGGGGATGTTTTTTTTTTTTAAATGTCACAAATCTCTAAAAGCCAGAGTGTTGTTTTGGATTATGTGCAGGAACAAGTGTCACTCAAAGTCGCGCATGCAACAGATGAAGTCCTTGTTATGAAACGGCCTTGACACAGGCGCTCAAACAGATGGCATGAGAGAGGCAGAGTGAGAAAGACGAGAAAAACTCCGCCGACTCCTGCTCCGCTCTCGCCTTCCCAGAGAAGTGTTGTTCTCGGTGCTAAAGGCCACCTGAAATAAAAAAAAAACAGAGGACGACATTTAGATTTGAAAACGCCTTGCACTTCTGGAGCTAAAATTTAGATTCAATTTTAAAAAAAGAGGGTCGTGGAACATCAGCTTATCTTGTTGGCCTTCAAAGAAAACCTGAACATGGCCATGAAATGTTTTCTCAGCATGTAAGAGCGAGTGGGTGTTCCAGCCCGAGCCACAGATTATCTACACACAAAAACACCTCATGTTGTGCACAGAATGACTAATCTCCAGGACCTACTTTCATGCTGCAAGTGCGTACACATCTGAATATAAAAGGTGCACTAAGGCTCAAATTACTTGTCCCCTTTTACCCCGTCAAAATAAAACACAAATCTCTGGTACATCGGGGTTTAATTAGGAGTAGGTTCTCCTCATATTTATTTATAGTCTACCTACGCAGGTAAAAGTCTACTGCTGCTTATTTGCAGTGGAAATGACACCTGTTAATCTCTTAAGAGCTGCAGATGCAGCTACAAAGACGACACACATTACGTCTTTCGCCAATCCTCTCAGTTTTATACACCTGGCGGCTCCACAAGTCCATTTTACTGGCCTGGAACGGGTGTGCAGAGTTGCTTTAGGACATGTTTAAATATACATCAGTCCTGACGCAACGGCCAAACATGGCTGACACGGTAGCAGGTGTGTGAGCAGCCTATGACGGCTGTATCTGAGCGGTTGAGTTTGGCGAGACTGAGCGGCCCCGTCGTCGGCTATTAAAATGCTAATCGGCGTCATGTTTGGTCAGATGGATGAGGCAGACTTGCGCATGACAAGCTGTGTGCTCCGTGGCCCAGCTGGACGTGGAGAAGGAGCTGGAGAAATGTGAGCAGGTCGTCAAGGCGATCAGCATCCATGCATACTTCCATAGCTAAGTGCAGAAGACACAAATCTGATGAACGGCTACTAAACCACCCAAACGCAGCGTACCAGGACAATTGTAGCATACAGATGAACCAATCAGAGGTTTCCAGCTTCCCTCTTAAACCTGCATCTCAACGAGCTGCAACTAAACACACAGACATCCAGACATTGAGGATTTTGAGAATTATCTTACAAATATTCTAAAAAATCTTCATTACAGCAGCACAAGATGGGAAAGTTGAGACTTTTTTCTTTCAGCCTGGTGTCTCCGATTCCATCGTTCTCCTGACTCTGTTTACATCCGGGAATATTTTACTAACTCAGTGTCTGTCCCACACAGAGTCTGTCCAAAGTGAATTATCAGTGATTCAATGTAAACCAACGACTCGTTTTTGGCCTCAAAACACAATCCAGCTGTTTTTACTCATCACCAACGATAGGGTAGATATTTGGTAATGAATGATATGTATTCAGTATTCTTTTTTTAAAATCATAGATAACATGAATACAAAAAAAATTTACAATACAAAAAACAGTACGAATGCACAATATTATCGGCATGTATCGGTATCGGCAGACATTAGCGTTAAAGTTCAATATCGGACATTCCATCAAAATAACTCACCGATATAAAAGGCGATATTTTTGTATGACAACCCAGTGACAAGGATGTCTGCAGCGCCAGCACAGCGTGATGACGTCATGCACGCCTACCTGATCTCACGGCGGAGAGGAAAAAGTCAAAACGTCAGCGGTGTGGAAGTTTTTTTTTTTCTGTTGGTGAGGATGTCAGATTCTGAAGATTTTTGGACTCGTTGAGCCTCGCTATATTGTCCCCAGTTGGAGATATTTTTCAGATGTAGCCTTACTCGAGTTACAAGCTGTCATTTCCAACGTTACTGAGAAGCTAATAGCTGATAGCACTTGGTTGAGTTTTACCACAGACATGTGGGCGTCGTGTTAGCCCTGTTAGCATGATTAGTCTTACGGCACAATGGATAGACAAAAACTTTGAACTTACACCTGCACCTACATCTGGAACTACCATTCTGTGTTCGTCTGTCTCTCCTTCCTGTCCTCTCAAACCAGCCGGTCAAAGCAGATGGCCGCTTGTCCTGAGCCTGGTTCTGCTGGAGGTTTCTTCCTTTTAAAATTGAGTTTTTCCTTTCCACTGTTGCCACTGTGCTTGCTCAGGATGGGAGACTGCATCGAAGCCAAGATTCATCTTGTCTGCTGGATTCCTTAGATAGAGAACATGACTAATTGGCCTTTATGTATGTGAATGTTTCTGTAAAGTGCTCTGAGACAACTTTGTTGTGATTTGGCGCTATATAAATAAACTGAATTGAATTAAAAAGTCTGTCCTTCATGCACAGGAGTGCAGAGGATCCCACACTGCAGCTGAACCTGGAACAAGCCTCAACAAGTGAGACAGCATCGCAGGTGACTAATGTTAATAAATAACATTTAACACTTTTCATTTAATATAAGAGCTATGCATATCATATGGCTGTTAATAAATATGTGTCACCAGCTCTTACAGCTGTTGCACAATTTTTGTAGCAAATAAGCCTAAATAAGAGGAATATGTTCTGACAAAGGAAAGTATAATATCGGCCAAAAATCCAATATCGTGCATCCCTAGTTTTGACAACTATTATGGTTTTTCATGACCACGACTTATTTCACATAAGTGAACATTGATTATATCCGTAATAAAGAGTGCACCATACTGTGTCAATAAGTCCTGAACTCACAGGCTGCTGAACAACTATTAGAAATAATAATAAAAACGCGCTGACTGCAGGTGCTGCTTTGGGCTCTGGATTAAAAATTTCAGAACAACCGAGACTAGACTAGCTAAAACTTCAGCTCAGCTTCTCCAAAACTGCTCCATTAAATTATGACCCTTCAAGGACTGAATGCTGAACATGTCAGGATGGACGACTGCATTCTGTATCCTGTGTTTGATGCTGCTGATCTTTGGGTTTTCTACACTTTGCTGTGATCCGACAACTCCAACTTATCGTGGCCTCTTTTCTTATCACGGCTCGTGTTTATAACTCGTCCTTGCTCTAAACTGATAACCACGAAGGATGTTGAGGAACAAACATTTAAAACGCGCTCTCATGTCTCACTCGCTTTGCTCCGTCTTAAACCACTGCACATCAACTGCGTTTTGAGCTTGAACTTGAACTGCAGCACATGAAATTTCACTTTCCCTCAAATCAACAGTATGTTTTAAGCTTATGTAATCTTTGAGGCAAACGGTCACAGTACACATGAAGACATAAAAAGGACAGAAACTATAGTCTGCATGGGGTAGAAATGTTGAAAAGCAGGTTGAGGAGCCGTCACTGGACAGAACCAAACCTTGCAGTGTCCTAGTTTTTAAAATGATCTGCTCGCTGTGACAGAAGTCTTCATTTGTTGCTAATTTATTTAAAGAACACGACTATATCAAAATACAGTGCATTAACTTATCTACATAAGTAAACATTACAAATAACCCAAACAGCATTGCTTACATACAAACACCCAATAACTCAAGGCGCACGACTGTTTTTAGATCGGCGGAGCATTTCAAAATAAAACGGCACATAAAAATGTGGCCTGAGCAACATGTAAGGCAACTCTTTTATTAGCAAGAGGATAAAGATATGAGTGGGTAGGCTCTGACCTGAAGCAACAAGGTTTATAAATAAAACCAGCATGCATGCAGCTCACAGAATCACAAGCAATTATCTAGGGTGGAAAAATCGGGTTTTGCAGCCAAAGCTGCGGTCACTATGGCAACAGCCTTTGTGCATAATCTACAAGTGTGAATAATTGAGTGCCTATTAATCCACAAACATGTTGATTTGTAACTAAAATAGTTATTTTATGAACAGTAAGCTGCAACAGCCGTGTGTCCCACCGGTGCAAACGCAACTGAACAAACTCACGACAAAGAGAAAAAGCAGGTACAAGCATCACCTGGAGAAAGCTCAGCCAAACGAGTCAGCTGTGGGAGGACTCTGTGGCAGAAACACGAGCGACTTTGAACAGGTCCAACAGAACAAACCAGGCTGGTGAAGACAGAGAGGCGTTTCTCCTCTAGACTTCAGCAGCGCTCCTCTCTTGTGTACAAAGCGCTGCACGTGTCCGCGGCAGTGCTCTCTGCGAGCCTCGCCGGCCTCCGATTGGTCCGCTGGTTGGACCAATGAGAGCGCGCGAGCAGCTGGAAGGGAGGAGGTTTGGTCGACAGACACGCTGATCCCAGCGTTGCTGCGCACCATGTGCAGCACAGCTGATAAAGCGGGTGGCCAGGTGGGGTGGAGTTTGCAAAACATTTCGAACGCAGCTTGTAAATACGGTTCACTTCATGAATTCGGTTTAATCTGAATGAATCACCAAAATAATCAGGTTCACTCTATGTAATATTCAGAGATGTTCATTTAACCATTTCACACACCAATAAATAAACACCTTACAGATGATGGGCATCTTGTTTATCTTCCAACTGAAATAAACGCCAACAAAAATGTTGACTTGTGTTAACTGTACATTATCTATGTAAACATATGTTAATGTCTATGTTGGACTCACCTGAGTCCGCAGCACTGTAACTAATGCTCATTATTGTGTGATGCATTGTGCTCTATATACCCATGCCTACTTCTGGTTCACTGAAACACACTTCGTCTAAACCAAAGGAGTCCAGTCCTGGTCCTCGAGGAACGCTATCCTGCTTGTTCCCCTGCTCCAACACACCTTATTTAATCATCTATTCATGTTCTACAGAAGCCTGTTAATCACCCATTGATTCATATCAGGTGTGTTGAAGCAGAGAAACATTGAAAGCATGCAGGATAAGAGAAGACGCTTAGAAGCTTTGCAGAGAGTGGTGAAGGCTGCACAGAAGTCTGTTGGAGTCAGCTTCCCCACCATCACAGACATCTACACCTCCAGATGCAGGAAGAGGGCCACCTGCATCATGAAGGACCCCACTCACCCAGCACTCACACTCACACATATTTTTGCCCCCCTCCCCTCAGGAAGGAGGTTGAGGAGCATTAAGTGTAGAACCACTATACTGAGGAACAGCTTCTACCCTGAGGCTGTTAGACTCATGAATCTCTAACCAGAAGAATCACTGTGAAAAATCACATCATGCTGCTGATGATCTGTTTTAACGTTGATGTGTTCATTCATACTCATCTGCTCACACAGACTCATGTTCGTGCTGCTGTTCGGCGTATTGTTTTTATGCTACTAGTGCTTGGTGAATTTTTATTAACGTTTTTCTTAGTTCATATCTTAGATCTTATTACTGTTTTTCTTTTACATTTTAATACTTTGTTGGATGTAACCGGGACCCTGTGTAGACAATTTCGTTAAATAAAGATCCTGGACCTGTTCAAAGATCATCAATCTTTTCCTTGGTTCGAAATCTGTTTATTGTTGTTCAGTAAAGCCTAAATCACTACACATCATCATTGAGCCACAAAGCTAGCTAACCTTTTCAGATGTCGACTGTTAAGGCTCTGTTGCTACCTCGCTAAGCAGCACAATAGTGCAACAGTAATGGTCTGACTTAAACTCAATGCTGCCTTGATTCATGCCAAAGCTTAAGTCATAGGCCAGCACAGTGAAAAGGAATGCATCTAGACAGCAAATTCCAGCTAACAATTAAATAAAAGAACGGAAGTTCATTTAGATTAAATTTGTGTACAATACACCTGTCAATCGAAGTACAACCGACAAGTGCCAGGCAGTGAAATGAAAGGAAAATTTGTTCCCACAGTTTAGGGAATCTGTGGATTTAAGATGTACAGCAGGTAGATCTAATCAACACCTGACACAAAACAAGGATTTAGAAGCTTGACACATTTTAACACCCCACAATAACATTCAATAGATAAGAGCAGGGCCGTGTCACTTTTTTCTTCTTCGATTAGCATCGCCTCTTTGTGAGTGACAACAAACGATATTAAAGCGCTGGTGACAAACTGGTAATGTGACTTATTCTGGCAAAAAGAGACGCAAAGAAGAATTCTTTACTTTTGAGTTAATATTATGATCAAATTCACCATCTCAAAAGCTTCAAAATGACCTGTGGCTTGTTGGTGATTTATCACCTGGCAGCAAGCCGGTCTTAATTACGAGAGAGCCAGTTTGAAAACCAGATTTTTATTGATCTGGAGTAATGTCAATGGAAATTCCTTCCATGTATTATAAAACCAGAGCTTAACAATGACGCAAAACATTATATGAAGAGATTTCCAGGCACAGATCAAAAGACAAATCGGTGCGGCTTCCGCAGACTGCACTCGGTGCTGGTCTGTTGTGGTAAAAGGGGGAGCTGATCACGTACAGGTATAAACTTTGGGTAGTGACCTAAAGAATGATACAGCGGATACAAGTGGTTGAACTGAGTTCCCTCCGAAGGGTAGCCGGACTCTCCCTTGGAGACAGGGTGAGAGGTTTAGTGATTGGGGAAAGACTCTATAGAGGTGCTGCTCCTCCACATCTTGAGAAGCCAGTTGAGGTGGTTTGGGCCTCTGGTACGGATCCTTGAATGCCTCCCTAGGAAGGTTTAACAGGCATGTCCAACTGGGAGGAGACCCTGGGGAAGACCCAGAACATGCTGGAGAGTCTATGTGTCTCGGCTGAACCTGGGAACTTCTTGGAGTCTCTCCATTATAATGGATAATGGATGAATGGACTTACTTCAGTAGCATGCAGATAAAATATTCAAATTCAAAACAAAAACTATAAAAGTTAGAAGACAATGGATTATTAATGGAAAAAATACCTGTTAGAAAACTTAAATATAAGGGTAGATTAGGAAGCTTATCTGCCATTTTATTTATCAAAATCCCTTTCTCTAAACCAGGGGTTTCCAACCCTGGTCCTCGAGGAACACCATATTTTTGTTTTTTCTCTGCTCTGACATACCTGATTTTAATTAATGGGCGATTAACAGGCATCTGCAGAACATGACTAAGTAATTAAATCACTGAATCAGGTGTGTTGGAGCAGGAAACAACTAAAACATGCAGGATGGCGTTCCTCAAGGACTAGTGTTGGGAACCCTGAGACTGCAACAGGAAAGATTTGTGGCTTCAGGTCAGCTATAGAGTATTTAAGGTTTTCATTTGCATCTGCATACAAACAGTGTTTATATGTAAAGTTTAGATTTATATATACATGCTTTCAAACTTTGTTTTTAAGTTCACTGTATAGACTGGGCATTCTGAGGTTTTGGTGCATTACCTGAGAGTCATCCACGTCACAAACATCAAGCGCTAACAGATCAATCAGTAAAAACTTTGGTGTGCATTCCTTCTTTCAACACTGGATTTAGTTTTCTTAGCTTTTTCCTTCCTAAAAATGTTTTATGTGTTTGTTCCAACAACCCAGTAGCAGAATAATGAATTTGAATCCAACAACTGTGATGCAAAAGGAAATTTTTAATAAAGGATCAAAAATAATCTACTGATAAGTTTTCTGCCATTCCTACAGAACATTTTGTTCCATCTCGGTTTTCTTGCTTTGTCATGCTGGAACAGAAACTGAGTAAGTAGCCTAGTTTGCCATCCTCCAACTAGTTGAAAGCTCGCTTACCCGACCACAAAAACGGGCCATGTGGTCATGCATCAACATATATCATATCTACATCATCTGCACATTTGTCAAGCATGTGGAAACTCTTCATGTACATGTTTATCATAAGCAGAGAACAAAGTAATGAGACAGAGAGCCAATTCTAATGAGACTTCACGTGCCACTATAGCAAATGAACAAACATCCTGTTTGAATATTTTAAATAATTCAACGTGTTTACTGGAAACAAGTTTGACATTAATTAAAGGCTAGCATACTTTGAAGGAATGCATATCGCCCACCACCTTCCATGCTTGAGTTTTGAACTAAGATCATCTTATGTTGGAAAAGTTGTTTTAATTAATTAAATCTCAAATTATCATTCTTAAGCGACATTGTGATACGTCTTGCACAGTCTGTTAGTAGAATTGTTAGAATGACTACAGAGCTAAGTTTTACAGAACTGGTATCAGTGACGTAAGCCCAGAATAGGATGGTTTTCAGTTTAATCAGTGTCCAACCAGTCTGAAATAAAACATATATATATTAAAAAATAATAATTATAATAATATTTTCCTGGTTAGTGAATGCATCATTTCTAAGTGGTAATAAAAAAATCGGATGTTTTCTTGATACAAGATTGCACCATAGCTAAGTACCAGAATGCACTGATGATAAATTATTTTCTTTTTTTATTATTATTTAGGTTTTATTTGTTCATGTGCATAGATGTTCATAAACCTGGAGGATATTGGTTGGAAATTTCCAGGTGTTTTAATTTTTTTTCCTGTAATTATTATGATGCAAATGATGCAGGATGATCTGTAAATAACTTTATATTGTCTCATTCATCCTCTCAGACTCATACAGTGCTTTCTGTTATACATCTTTTACGTATAAACATATGGAGGGCAGTGGGAGAGCTCATATCTTTCCTAATGACACATGCAGCTGTAGGCTGAGGTTCAGATCCCCAATCCTCCCTACAACTGGGCCAAAACTGCCCCCACAGCAGTAAAAAGAAAGACAACAATCACAGAGGAGTTAAAAAAACTGCACACAAAGTAAACACATATTGATCTTCTGTAGTCAAAACATGAGTTCTCTTGGTGAAATTAATGCATTTTACCTCAAATGTGCACATCAGCAATAGTCTTGCTTGATTTCCACACAAACCTAGTTCATGCAGCCCCCGTGTTGCCAGATAGTCGAGCTTTTCCAGCCCAAAAATCTGTTAAAAACCACCACATCACACAAAAATCTGCCCAATCAATATATTGTTACAGTATATTTACTGTTTGAACATGAACACACATCAGTACAAGCCAAGGTAATTCAACAATATGTGGCAAAGCGCAACAATCCAACAAAAATCGAATGAAAACTGCCCAATTGGAGGTAAACTGCCCAATCTGGCAACACTGTTCAACCATGAAGTAATAAATCTGTGCGCAGCTGCTCCTCTGTGAAGGTTGAACACCCTAAGACAGCTAGTCACAACAATCTGTAACACAGATCCTAATATTAGTAGAAATCCACTACAAAGAGCCTTTGCAGCCCTGCTGGCTGCTTCTTTTGAGACATCTTGTGAGGTTTGTCAGCTTCATAGAGTAGACATGTTGGTTTGCAACGTGACATAAACATTAATAAAGACAAGCATCTTATTTAAACTGCTCACCTAATAAAATGTAGACGACGTTAAACATATACAATCTGTGGTTTTATTATAACGTTGTGAAACATTTGTTTGTTTTTTGTAGCTTGCTTAATGAACGCAAAGCTAGCATCAGGACGCTACGTACGCAGCACGATTATAAATACAAAAAAAAAAATACAACAAACCTGCTTACCTTATGCTTCAAAGTAACAACACCTAGTTATGGTATTTCACGGTTTGAAATTCTTCAGAAAAAGCCTCTAAAATCCAGTTATTTACGAGTATCCAGCCGTAGCGTCCTGTGTTGTTTCCACAGACGTGCCAACTGTAGTTTACACGCAGTGCAACATGTGCCTGAGTGTGTGATCCGCCAAGTGATGTTGAAAACAGCGTTGTGATTGGTCAATACGAAGTTGCGCCCCCCGCCTATGACACGCCTTCTTGCGTTCTGATTGGTCAGGAGGGGCGGGGCTATCCGCACGAGGCTCAGTAGTCACGTTGGAGGCTGACTGGACCAGAGTTCTTTTCCAAACACACGAGAGGCGGATGAACACGTAGAGAGCAGCAGCTTACCGTAATACCAGTATAAACGCCGAAGGAACATGTATTTGTCACAACATAAGCCATCAACAGCTATTTTTTTTCCTCTCCACCTCGTAGACAAGCAGCTATTCCAGAACCAAATAAATATTAAAGTCCTATTCTAAAATGTGTACGTTGCACTAACGCGCAGGAGCGTCGTCATTGCGCGCTCGCTTGGTTATTACGGCTTCGACGACTCTCCGGCATGCACCTGTCAACGTGCTCTCAACAACACGACGTCATGCAGTCCCCGCCCCTCCGACTCGCACACAAACACCATCGTGCACTCCCTTTGGTAGGCACGCGGCTGCTGAGAGGTTATTGGGTGGATGTAAACCGAGCAGATGTAGGACACATGTCTGCAAATGACCAAGGATACTTTACCTGTGAATAAAAAGAACACAGGGAGGACTTAATTCTTAATGTAAGAAAATAAAAAACAATGCAGGTGAGCAAAGCAAGGTGTAGTTTATTAATCATAAACAAAAAGTTTAAAAAAAAATGCACTCAAGTCTTTTATCATAGAAATATACACTTAAGGATCAATAGGTCGTCCTGATGCATGCTCAATAATCCAGGTAGATAAACCTAACAAGGTGGAGTCAGGTCCTCTGGACAGAATCCTCTTTGTTGAAACATTTCTGCTTTGATCAAAAACATTGCCCCTTTTCCATTAGTACCAGTACGGGCTGACTGGACCCTACTTGGCCCGGTTCTGAGGCTTTTCCATTAGTACGGGTACTTAGCACCTGTTACTATTTTCAGTACCCTTGGCTCTGTGGTTCTAACCCGAATGAAGAGGTACTAAAAGTGTCAGAACACTGTCGGTCACTGATTGGTCGGGGGCGGAGTCAGGGGCGGAGTCACTGGATCCTTCAGAAACTTTTCAAAACATTAATCCGCCATTTGCAATTTCTCGGACTGGAGCAGCGGCTGGACTTATTTTAAAGATTTTAAAAACAATACTGACAACATCTTGGTCTAATGCTGATGTGCTGGCATTTTTTGTGCTTGGTGGCCGACAACATAATTCAGAGCAAGCTGGATGGAGCTCTGCTGGTGTACCCCGATCCTCCCTCTGGAGCCTCGGAGCGCCAGGCCGGCCGGGCAGGGCGTCATCTCCCCGGCTCCAAGTTCAGCTGGTCACCGCGGAAGATCCTTCGATGTGCCAACTCGGAGGCTCGGGTTCCGGATACCAGCCTTGTGTGCTCAGAGCTGCAAGTCCTGCAAGTCTGAGGAGCTGCAAGCAACTGGTGATAACCAAAACTAGTTGTTCACATGCAAAAGGAGGACCATCAGCCTAACGACCGATCGTTAGTGCCCTGACGGCCGCTTGCTATTCACAGAAGGCTGAGTGATACTAGCATTGTAAGAGTGTGACAGTTGAACATGGATGAGTTCTCTTCACAAAGATGGCGTCCTTGCTTCTCAAACCAGCGTTCCTCTCTATCATGGATATGCACATTTTCATCCCTGAATGAGTGACCTCTGTCCCGTAGATGAGTGTAAACTAGCCCAGAGGTCTGCAACCTTTTAAATCAAAAGAGCCATTTCTACCCTTCATTTACTAAACAAAATGTGTCTAGAGCTGTAAAACTGGCTGCAATGGTCATTATCAAGTGGTGGCTCATGGGCCACTTCAAATTTGTATGAAGGTATTTTTTATTTTTTTTTCCCAGCTAGTGGGGTAGACTTTATAAAATTAAAAATATACAATGAATTTTAGCATGTATTAATAATTTTACATTATAGGGCTAAAGAAAAGACCACATTCATGGGTAAAAAAACATATTTCACACCAATTTTACAATATATATATATTTGAATATAAATATATATATATATATATATATATATAATCCTGAACTCTGCAGGTTTATGTGTCTTCCTTTTAAATTTATAAAAATAAATGTAAATATATCCCACTTTAAATTAATAAAGCATTAATTTAAAGTGTGTCAAATTTTAATTTAAAAATAAATTTTGTATTTACTTTAACTTTATCCATCCATCTCTCTATCCATCCACTAATTAATTACTCATCATATTTCTTCAAAGAATTTCTGGTGGATTTCAAAGATCCAGCTGTAAGGCCGGAAGTTGGATACATGAAGTAGCTAAAGTTAATCAGCATTATTTTCTCCTTGTTTTACTCATTTATTTTTAACATATGCAGAAAAACTGCTAAAACTTGACATTTCTCTTTACTGGGGGTATAAAAACCAATGAATTTACATTTTGCATTATGTTTGGTCGAAGCTTCAAGGAGCCGCAGGCTAATGACCAAAGAGCTGCATGTGGCCCCAGAGCCGCAGGTTGCAGACCCCTGCCTTAGCCTGATGATGTTGCTCTTCTGTGCTGGACCATCCTTTTGGCCAGTGGTTGTGTAGTTTCCCAAGACTGATCACAGCGCTCCTGACACTGAACAGCATATATAATATTACGCTGTTTGTGCCGTGGACTGGATCTTTGGGATGAACCAGTCGTTGCCGTACAGGCAAAGACCGCCTGTAGGAGGAATTCATGCAGTATGGACAGGTAATGAAAAATTATAGTTTAGCACTGAGCCTTAACCAATATGCAAAGTTTTTTTTCAAATCAATAAATTATACAAATCATGCACAATATTCTTCCAAATATACATAAACTACTGGTTTGCAAGGGAGTGTGCTTGTGTTGTATTTTGTTTTTCAGTCAGTCAGGTCAAACGGGCAGTCTCACTCCACCGAATATGAAATAAGGCTATTTTTTTACATATTAAAGAACCAGTGTGTTGTGTTTATGGCTCCATCTGTCACATTTTTAAACATGTTTAAAAAAAAAAAAAGTTCTACCTTTGCTGAAGGGAGGTGACCCCACCTCACTGAACAACTATCGACCAATCTCTAAATTGCATTTTAGCCAAGGTTCTAGAAAAACTGATAAACTCTCAAATCAAAAAGTATTTGGACTCATTTAACATCTTACCTCAACAACAATCTGGTTTCAGGAAACAACACAGCACAACGACTGCTTCACTGAATGTTTTTAATAACATTATTGAAGCATTGGATGTTAAGGATTATTGTGCTGCACTTTTCTTAGACCTGTCTGAAGCTTTTGACACTGTGGATCATAACATCTTGTGTCATAAGCTCTCAGAAATCGGTTTCTCAGATCACACCATTGGTTGGTTCTCTAACTATCTTTCAGACCGGAGGCAATGTGTTCAACATAATGGTACTTCCTCCAGTTATTTAACAGTCAACAATGGTGTACCACAAGGATCAGTCTTAGGACCCACCCTCTTTACAAGCTACATAGGTAATGTAGGTCAAAGTATACCTGATGCATCCTTACATTTCTATGCTGATGACATAGTTGTTTATTGTCAAGCTAACAGTTGCTAAGGCCCTCCAGCGTTTGCAATTTGCATTTGACATCATCCAGTCAGATTTGTTCTGTCTCAAACTTGTCCTAATTGCCAATAAAACCAAAGGGATGCTTTTTTCAAACAGGAAGTTGGTCCCAGCAGTTCTTCCTCTGATTTTATTCTCAAATGGTGTCCCTATTGAGTTTGTCGATTCCTATAAATATTTGGGTATCTTGGTCGACTCACATCTCTCTTTAAGCTTCACGTGGAAAACCTAGTAAGGAAACTGAAAGTTAAATTGGGTTTCTTTTTCAGAAATAGATCCTGTCTAAGTCTAAATGCTAGGAAACGTCTTTTGACTGAGACTTTCCTTCTCTCCATTGATTACAGTGACATTATTTACATGAACGCTCCTACAAGAACCCTGCAGATGTTGGATGCTGTCTATCATGGTGCACTAAGATTCATAACTGGCTGTGATTATCGTACCCACCACTGCACCCTGTATTCACTGGTTAACTGGAAATCATTAACTTCACACAGACTCTTCCACTGGTACATTTTCATCTTTAAATCACTTCTTGGTCTGCTGCCTTCATACATCTCCTCCTACATGTCTCTGCGTGAGTGCAGCTACAGCGTGCGCTCTCAGGACATTATTACCTGCAGTGTTCCCTCAGTGAGGACTGAACTAGGCAAAAGGGCCTTCTTCTGCTCGACTCCTGTTTCCTGGAATATCTTGCAAAAAGATCTGAAGCTCTCGACCTTGACCTCTCTAAGTGGCTTTCAAACTCTGTTAAGTTCCTGGCAAAAACCAATGCAGACATGTTCCTGTTTTTAGTTTTTTTACACTGCCTTCTAATCTAGCTGTTTTTATTTTTCTTCTTTTCGCTACTTATTTCTTTTGACTGTTATTTTGATTGCCATTTTATTTTAATTTGTTTAAAAAAAATTAAAACATTAAAATTTGTATGCCTCTTTTGTGACTGTCTATTGTTGTCGTTGTTGTCCACAGTTGTCATCACTCTTTGTTAAATAAATCAAGTCTCTCTTGTAAATGAGCCCCGGAGGCTCAATGGGACTAACCTGTCTAATAAATAAAGGTTGAATGAAAAAAAAAAAAGGTCGAAATAACAGTTTCAGTTAAATTTTGTTTGTGTGTTTTTCCACTTCGGTGTGTCATAAAAACAAGACAGATTATGCAAGATATTTTCATGACACGTTAGAAAATGATGCCATACAACGTGATATGATTCGGTGCAGTACGATAGGATAGATAATATGAAACAAGACAGTTTGATACAACATTTATGACATTTATGTGATATAAAATGGAATAATGATAGTATTTTATGACACTTACGTGATATGATGTGAAACGGCAAAATATGGTAGATCAGGGGTGTCC